GAAGGGAATGGGAGTGTTGAGAAACTGATCCTCTATTATACATATATTATAGCTCCGATATTGCTCATATTGGTAATCGCCTTACTTATCCATGGCTTTTTAGCACCACATAAGACAAACACGCTCTGATTCAAAGATCATAGAACAAAATCAACTCAATCAATTCCACGTAGCTCATGTTCTCAACACAAGGACCTAAAATCGATACCCAATAAGATCGAAAAACCCAAAGAAATTTAAGAGGGAACCAGGTAAAAACTGAACAATTAACCTAGACTCTAGAAAAAAAATCGAATCGGTTGCAGGATGCACTTGCTCGACGCATTCCTCCTTACGTTAAAGTAGGCAGCATGCAATGTAGAAGAATCATTCGAAATGCCGTTTTTTCAGAAAAAAACCATAATACAAATTTCGACTTTGAAGTTAGAAAAAAGAGGCAATTCAGCGGAGGTTAAATACATTCAATGAAATCCAATAGCAAAATGTAGGAATCATCTTTGAAAATTGCAAAATCCGGATGTAGATATTGGATAGACACATACGTACCTCTATTTCTCCTTCGATCCAATCGCTATCAGCCGGATACAGCTCTGGCACTTCTTCCTCCAGCAACGGTGGTTTGTCGTCATAATATCCGGGAGCCTGAAGCTTGCATTTTCACAGGCTCATCCAAGAAAGTTTGTAGACGATACAGTAGTACATTCAAGCGATAAAACTGAAAAGTTGTCGGGTTTCCCAAGGAGTAGAGATTGATCAATAGTAGGCACCGGTCCTGTACTAGGGTGAGGTCGTAAACGGTGGCGTCCCTATTTTGAAAACAAGGAGGTAGAAGGAAAGTGAGAAACAACGAAGTTCAAAGTCACTTCGGAAAGATATTGGCCCTTCAAAAACATGCTCTTAAGAGGGCAGTAACAAACCTTAGAGATAGCCTTTCAGAATAACATGCAAGACTACCGTAAGGAACGAGCCAACTGCTCTTCTGCGATTAGAAAGTAACGAAAAAACAACATTCGAGTAGCAGCTAACAATGATCTCCAACCGTATCACCGCAAAACCCAAAGAAAACTAATATACGCGCCTGTTACGAGTTTAAATACTCAATTGCCAAGGACGTCACAGATAATGGAGCCGAGCCATGTGACGAACGGAGGACAACAACTACGGCGATTAAAAGCGGCGTTTTGTACAGTGAACGACAATTTATCACTTGTTTTATAGTGACGTTCCTCGAAAACTGCAGAGATAAGTAGCACACAATCTCACGAGTTCTAGACAACGAAAAAAAAAACGGCGGTGAACAAAAAATGAAGCGATAGTTTCTGGTTTTGCAATGGAGACCGAAGATTTAACTCTTCCAGAATGGTACTGTATTCAAATGAGCACCGAGACCAAAATCTGGCCACTGTAATGGATCTCACCTGATGAATAACTCTCCGCGGAACAGCAATTTTAGAGACACTGGGGCGGAGTTTGATTGGTTCCTTCATGAAGTCCCTGTCTGTAGTAGTCGGAGGGACTTTTGGACGCAGCTTGATAGGTTCTTTCATGAAGTCTTTATCAATGACTTCGGCTTGTAGCAGTGGTGGTGAGTCACGTGCATCCACCACTTTTATTGGTAAAATTGTATTCCCTGCCAACACTGTTGCACCAGTAGGACGTCCTTTGACAAACTGCACTCTTCGCATGGGCCCATTCTGGCGGAATCCGTAACCTGTCAACATTCAATGATCGTTCACGGTGACTTATACTGACTACCTAACTATTTCTGTGAACCATTACCTAGTCTTGATTATCACCGAAAATTCCAAAAATTCTATAAACATCCAAATTCATTCCCATTTATGAAATCAGAATGTAATTAAATAAGAGAAAAAATCATACCATATTCATCATCTACCAAAAATCTGTCCAGCTCGTTGTCAGGGAAGGAAAATGGGATACGATCCGGTTGACCAACATACCTAGAACAAAGAAAAGTTGTCAAAATTGCCAACGCACGAAGCCATGATCCAATGTGAGGAGGATCCTCGACGTCATACATGTGATTTGGTGAAGAAACTAGAAGTAACATCTTGTTAGAACCATATTCATCGCTTTGGAAATACGGAGCACTGATAGTTCGTAAATTCGAATCATGGCGAAAAAGTGAGCGATGGGATACCTTCCAATCAACTAAATACATGCCAGGGTTCATAAAGAGTCACATATGGTGATGCTTCGAAATTATTTCCAAACTGCACACAATCAGGAAAATTAAGAAAAAGCTATTTTCAAAGATCTCAAGATCGGATTGTACGGACATTAAAAATTCTGAGAACGGACAAGTCGCGCTCGCAGCCAACATCTGTTCAAAAAAGTTAGTAGCACTGACTATGAAATTCAAAAATTCATGAGAGCAAAGATACATAGCATCAAATCTCAATGGAACGGAGCCTTGAAGTCTTGACGAGAGCTACAGCACCCAATAGCCCAGTCACAAATAGATAAGTTTGAGTATAAAACTTCTATGTGAATCCTTCTCATGTCACCTCTGCCTACTCCACCGATTCACTCCTCAATTCATCAATTAAGTGAAGGAACTCGTTGGTGAGGAAAAAAAGTGTTCCACACTTATTACTATATACCAATAAGTATTCATACGCCGTCGCCGTCGTTATACCAAATGGAAGTCGGGTATTTGGCGCACCGAGAAAAATCAACTCTCAGTTGATGCAAACCAAGCAAAAAAGAATTCATTCACAATAAATGTTCTGTCATTTAATTGTTCGATGGAATTCGGCCGAATGTTGCAAAACAAGTGTATTAGCAAGCCTATATACCACTTGAGAAAAAATTGTTCAGAACAATTATGAAGCACTCAAATTAATTTCCCATGCCATTTGATTAGCAACTGAGGCATTGTGCACACTAACGAAAATAATTATTTTCTACAAAAAAATATTCAGTTAAGTAACGGCCATAAATTACCTAAACGTCTGGTCTACAAATATGAATCACTTCAGAAATCGGGAGGAATCTTTCAAGTTAAACGTTCAAAATATTTCGAAAAATATAGCAGTCACTCAGTCGCTAACCAAATATTTACGAAAAGTTTGAGACAAAAAACATAAAAAACGACCAGGGAAATTCTGTTGAAACGTCACGAATCAGCGGATCAAAATCGGCCGCTGCCAAAACTTTGGTCAGCCACGTGAGCGCGTGAGAGTGAGAGTGTAAAGGAAAGGCACGCCTGGATCTTGATTGCCTGGCCACTGACTTTGACAATGCATCAGAGAACACACACGATCTGCCCATGAATTTTTTGCCAGCCTTTCTAAAAGTTCCACAAAAAATGGCCCCTATCTCACCTTGGCGTAAACAACCATCCATTATACCAATTTCAACTGCAGCAATAGGTCAGTCACGCACCCACAACCGTAGTGATTCAATAGGCCCGATAAGGTGTCATTGAAAACTAATCGAAATCCGGAGTCGGTCTCGTTTAATGGGGATGGATGAATGAAAGCTGCCACTCCGACCAAACATTTCTTCCTTACCAGGGCCCCAAAGAAAGTGAACTGTCTTAGGCACTAGTTGTTAATTAAACATGGGCATTCAAATGAAAACCAAAACGATGTTTTCAATAATAGCATTCCAGAAACAATGTCATTCACGAATGGAATTTCGAGCCTTCCATGTTTACATTGTTTTCCTGTATTGGTCCTCAAATATATGCAAGAATAGGATTCTCGGGTTCAACGGGCCCTCTTTGGAGTATTCCAATTACCCAGATTCTCTCATAGAAGCGATCGTTAGGATATGCCCACAACTGCTATCACAAGGTTCATAAGCCTCCGTAAAAGTAAAGTGCCGATCAAAGCTCCTCAAAGAAAGTCAAAGATTGACGAGCTCGAGGTACAAAAAGCTCATCATATTTGCAGGAAGCAAATGTTATTGAAAAACTTTCTATGAAATTGAACGCAGTAAAAAAAACCTTCATATCAGCGCTGTGATGCAGAAATCTAAAGGTGTCCGTCAGTCTTATGGGTATGATGTCCGTCAGTCTCATGGGTATGAAATGTCCCTCTAGAATTGCCAGTGTGGCGCCTCTGATGGTAGAACACGTGCTGAGATGGCCATAGGGTAGACCCGATAACAGAAGCACCGGAACTCTAAGCTAAGGGCAATTAATCACGGGAAGCTGAAAAAAGGAGGGGTGGACGTGATCAAAAAGAAGTTATAAGTTGTACGGAATTTATATACCGGAAATTCGCAAAGTCCAAACTCCTCTCAGGTTTTCTGGAGCTTTCCGCGGGGTTTCTAATTGAGGACATCATCCACAAGTACATGCATAACATATCCGGCCACCTCTTCCTTGCTTCCTCAGTCGTATAATGAACTCGCCACCCATAACCAACACGTACTACTCTACGAGTTCGAAGTTGGTCACTTCACGGCTGAAACCCATGGAAACTTGTGGTAAGCATTCAGCCTCTAAGCAACTTATAAGCAATTACGTGCCACCTCATTTCAACCCTTTAGCCCTAAAGGATCGAGGTCCGGGATAAACCTCGATCTGTCAACCGATTGCGATACCATAAAATCTCGTGATACTTTATGCGCATACATGTTAGCAGTACCCATTATATGGAAGCCTACTGGAAATCCGGGAAGTCTGAACTATTGTAGAATTTTTGGAAGATTCTCTTGGCACACCTAATTACTGACAATGAGACCAAGTCCACGTCGGCAAAAGCTGTCTAAGAAAAGAAAAGCGGCGGCTTCTAAAGAGGGCTTTGTAACGGGATCGTTGAATAAACGGTATGGAGAGGAGGGAGAAACTTTTATGTAACACGAATCGACACCAAGTAGAAATCAGCTTTTGAAACTTTCAACGGGAAATCAAATTGAAAAAATCAAATGAAATCTGCAAGCTGTTCCAATTTAGGAATTATGATGAATATTAACAATTAATATACAAAAAACTATGTATTGTGAATTTTCATCTTCTCTGCAGCTGGCTAATTTAATATAATTTTACACTGGCTGCAGTCACAAAGCTCCTACACCAAACAGGTGCAAAATGATGATGCAGGTCTATAACTCATGTTGCATGACGTGAGCATGGCCTGTCTACTAGCATTATGACGCCACTTAAAAATGCCTCAAGCGATGCGAACAACTTCTTGCAAACCTACTCAGGTGCTGTTGTTTTGATGAAGATAATCATGACATCAAAACCGCCAAAAAAAACCTGAAGATGCGAGTTTTCCATCACAATGACGTCATTACGCAAAACGGCACGTTGTAGCTTTGACGTGAAGATAAAAACATCACTACACAGCTAATCATCTGATAGCAACGTGAGCCAACTCCAATTTCCACCCACCAAATGCACTCCATTGCACAAAAGGCTCAAATTCGCGAAAACCCCAAAACCCTCCTTTCTTTTGTGTGGTACACAATGGGAGCGTGAAACGAGAGGATAGCAATAAGGAGGCTCGAAAAGCTGAATAAGAATTATGAGAGGAACGTGAGAAATGAGAATAAGGTGCATGGAATGCAGTCCATTAATGTGAGGAAAAAATGAAATAGCATGTGGGCTGTATCGACTTTATTTCAGCCGCAAAACCTCGAGGTTGTGGAAAATTAGAGGTGAAAAGCCTAGCTAATCGGAATATTCCTAGAAATCAATCAGTCGAATTAACATAAAGTAAATAGCTAATCGCCTCCAAAGTGACTCTTAGTAAGACGAAATAAATTAGATACGGTAGCTTGGGATAGGTTTAAAAACTCACGACTCATAGCTGTTGTGCTTAGCTAAATGCTCGCGAAAATGTCTGAAACATTTCGACTGGAACGTGCATTGCATGTAGGGGCAACCAAATGTTGCCGATCGTCCGAAATGTCGAGACCTTAATAGACTTCAATATCAGAAACAGCACATAACACATGCACTTTTTAATTGGCAACATAAACTGTCGATTGCCTGCACTATGAGAACGATGACTTAATTAGCATTTAATACCAAATTGCTAAGAATTGACTGAAGCAAAGGCAGTGTGGTAAAATTGTATCATGTGCGCCGAACAGTGATTGTACTTCATTGAAAACAAGTGTGACACGGCAAAACGATAGGGCAAAAAGACAAAAATGCGGCCTCTCTCGCCGCACCCAGTCAATAGTCGTGAAAAGAAGAGAAAAAGAACAAACCCACGAGAATGAGCTCATTCGAGATGGACGAAAAACAGAGGACATTTTCAAAATTCTATAGAGTTATTCATTTCTCTCTATAAAGCTTTGCATTTTATTTTCTTTCAGCTTTTGAAAACTGCATGACGACGTCAGAGTCATGCGCCATTCCATAAAAAAAATTATAATCAAAAGTGTCGAGCTGAATGGATTAAAAGAAAAAAGGATGACTTTGAATATCAAAAAATCTGGTGGGGAAGAGACCATCAACACAGCAGTCAAGATGTACGGAAGTATAATGAACAATACTCCCTCCCTTGCCCACACATGTTATGGGAGGAAAGTGCATGAGCACATGAGCACCATCCGCACTACTTTATCGAGCGCTAATATAATTGCCTTGTGCAGACGGATGTTTTGGAATAAAATTCGAAAAAAAGATTTTCCCAAGATACAAGAGAGGAGAGACTTACTGCACATGTTGTTGATAACTTGCTGGTTCCATGTAGGCTTCATAGCAATACGGGCACTTGTAGCCCCAATCGCGTCTTGCTGTATGGCTGCGCAGTTTATGTCTTCGTAGTGTCATTTGGCTAGCTGTAAACAACAGGTATGAATCTGAGAATGGAAAAGATAGGGCAGATCATTCAGGAATAAAGGCATTCTATAAATTCATCATCAGACAGATTGAAAAATTATATTTAAGCTTCTCTTTCGAAAAAAAAAGGAATTATTGTTGTGAAATTTGGTTATAAGGCTCTTTTTCGTTAGCCAAGCCCTCATTGGCTAAGTCGAGGCGTAGTTTGGCGACTAACCAATAAGAAGCAGGCTGGGGCTACTTATTTACCGCTGCGCGCACACATGATCAGCCTAGCTCAGCACTGAATAAAAGAATAAAACACTGAAATAAATAATTCCCATCGAAATTGCAATCTAGACATTGAATTCTTTACTTGCAATACTTGCAGGAAGAATCTGGCACAGCCTCATTTTCGCAGAAAAATGAAACATCCCATTTACATAAAATGAGGCAATCATGAACGTTAAAATGAAACAGGGCTGAACCGACGTAGTAAGTCATCATTTTCAGGCATTCATGCTGAACAGCAGGAATAAACACAGTCCAGTTTCGAACGGCTGAAGGAGTGGGACCAACCCCATACAAAGAAGATGGAGAAAAACTTTGGAAGGTTATAAGCGTTCCGAAGTATTCAGAAAGAAAACACGGAGAAAACATTGTCTCATGCCCTAACCAGCAGCATTGTAGAACTAATTCACTACAACACTAACTACTACCATATAGGAACCCACAAGCTCAGCCCGAAACTCACCCACTAGGCGAACAAGCACATGTGCTGAGACAATCCCTCGTGTAAGAGATAATGGCATTAGCCACATAAGAAGCCTTGATCAATAGAATACTTTGAGACACACGTTGATTAGAGCCTTTGCAGCTGAAGACGCTCCAGTAGCAAAATGGACCATCAATGGGTATGCTGATGTATTTGTACATAAAAGGACCTAAGGCAGCCATGAAAACAAAATCGATACTGACAGAAAAAAGGAACAGATGAGGAAGAAACGTGATATGTGATGTATCGAATAATGAGGAGCCGAATCTTCGAGGCCTGCCAAGGTGAAGTGAGCGAACTATACACTTCATTCCGAGCTTTCCTCAAATAATGTAGCGAGAGTGGTCCCTTAACGGCCAAAAAAGTATATGGAAAAAGTCCAAATTTTTGCCCTGTATGTGTTTACTTTGAATATCTAGCAGAAAATGAGCAAGAAGGACTTCTATCAGTAGGGAAAATTACAAAGCAGGAAAGATCATGAAAGAAAGGTCTGTCCTGGCCAACGGCGTCAACGAGCTATGGGCCTTTTGCACATATCCCACTTCTTGACTGACAACGTACTTAGTAATTTCATTAATATTCAATGGGCAAAGCTATCTGTGAAAGCTAAGCTTGTGTGTACTACTCATACCATCGCGATCTACTTAAACAGAATACTTTTATTTCCTTTGAAATGAGCTCCCTTCCAAAACTATTAGCTAATATCCACTGTATCTCACTATATAGTCACGCCCTATACCGCCAACCTAGCCCTTTTCTACAGCCATCTGCTGTCGCAAAAGTGCAAACCACTGGGGTGAAAATACCTCGGAGACTTTCACAAATTGCACTTGCTGAAAAGAAAAGCACAGGGCAGAGCAGGGTGGCACTGCCTGGCAAAAATTGATAACTACTCTCATGGATTGGACGTCTTCGTAGGATTCATCACCCAGATCCCACTTGGAGAATTTTCGAAAGTTTATCTTCTCTAAACAATAATCTCTTTTCTGTTACTGAAATAAAATCTTTCTATTCAAATTGATGGGAATCTTATAATCTCTTTTCTGTTACTGAAATAAAATCTTTCTATTCAAATTGATGGGAATCTTATCCATTGGAGGGACCACATCAACGTGAAATATAGCATCAGATTTGGAAAGCGGCATATATACCTTTGCACTAGGAAGCGGAAATTCTACACCGGGGCGGCTCATTTGCAAATCAAAGTAACCTTCACTCTCGTGTTACGTATTGCTGCCAAACAGCCTACCGATGAACGCATACTCATTACTACAGTGTAATACGGTCAGCTGAGAAACAAGGCGGAAAGGGAAAGATGAAAAAAGAGCGAATAAATCTATAATCTCACTGTACCAAACGTAGGAGTTCATCCGAAAGAGCGGTCTGGATAAAACTGATCGATTTGAGCAAAAATAAAAATTGCAGTGAAATAATCAGAACAACTGACACCAACGTTTGTAAAATAATTTTGCCATTATCTTTTTTCGTAAAAGCAGCTCCCACACTTTCCTTCCTCATATTCTAACCAACTTACCATTAGTTCCATTTCCATGTCACCAACGGGTTAGTGAAGAGAAAATGAAGTTTGAGTCAAAATTACATTTTTGAGAAACTTCAAAACAAATATTAGACAGATAAAAGATAATTCCAGTAAATACGAAAACAAGTACTTTCAGTCATACATTAAAAACTCAAACCTGCTGCATAATCACAATGTTCACATGCAAACGGCCTAGCATCGTTGTGGATGTTCATATGTTCATCGTACGAGCGTTTAGACGACAGGCTCTTACCGCAAACCCTGAAATAGTTATGCGCATTTACATTATTTGCATGGGGCTTGCCTTCGGCTTTTTGTAGAGTCCTTCAGAGAACACCAATCATCCAGTTTTCAGCAATGTGAGCATATCTCTATGCAGTTCAGTACACTTAAGAAATGCTAAGAAGCTTATTGGCAAGCATTCATTTCTTTGAAACCTATCCACTCTCATCCCGAGCACTTGACGCATGCGCAGGAGCATGCATCCGCCCTAATTGTGCATGGTCACCTTCACCTTATACTGCCATAATTTGCTCGGAAACACTGCTGAGCATTACGATAGGTACAGAAAATCCTCATGACTATCTTGGTAGAAAAGTATAAACCATACGTGAATATGGAAATCTATCAAAACCATTTACCCGCAATGCCAACGAGTCCTTTGTGCAGAGGGTACCAAGCTGATGACCTGCTCTTGATTATAGTTTGTTGCCTTGGTCTTACCGGTTCTGTGAAGTGATGGTCCAGGGAGCAGATGAGCCTGAAACAATCAAAAAATCAAAATTCCACGGCTCGTGTGTGAACAAGTGTGCTATATCCGATATGTTTACAATTGCTACCAACACCCGACCTGGACTGGAGCGAATACATATTAGCAGAAAGGTTAGAAGTTTGTAGGATCGAATTTGGGCGACATAGTCTGTATCAAATGCAAGAGTTGCAGTCAGGCGATCAAAAAACACAAGTTTCGGAGCCAGTAATACCTCCACGAATTCAGCCTGATAACGGGTGCCACCTAACACCAAACACTCTACTTTCACTTTAATCTTCTCAAATTTCTTCTTAGGGAAAAGTTTCTTCGGTTCCAATCACCGAATGGAGTTAAACATAAGAAGGAACTACGCGAAAGTATGGTAACTGATGTAACTGAACAACCTTCTATTCGCAAGGACAGAAGCCCAATTTGCTGTCAGTATTCATATACAGTACACTGATTAATGCACAAGGAAAGTTCTTGTTTGTTGGGATATAATAAGATTACCACTAAAACATAAAACGTGAAAAAAAATGGCTCCGAACTTACTGTATCATTTTTCAAGCGAGTGACGGGAAGAGACACTTTTCCTTGTCGATTAACGAACATCACCTTCATTTTTACCTTCAATTTAACAAAAACTAAGGTCGCAGAGAACTCCATCCAAAAACAGACAACATGATAGAAACTTCACAAACCTAAAAGAAAACAAGTTCCAAACCACGGAAATGACCCCAGTAGCAGATTATGGTTGCCTTGCTCCTGAATTTTGGAATTAATCACTATTTTCAACAAAGAAAGAAGGAGGAGGAATAGTAGCAGCACAGTAATAAGGAACGGCACGGCTAAAAAGTTTTAAGCAACTTAGTTGTTTTTTTCGAACGTCCTTTCAACGCCCGCGCTATCTCGATAGCGGTCAAGTTGTCGTCTGACTTGTTGTAAAATAGAATGTACTGAGCACGACTGCTTTGGGTGCTGCTTGGGGGGTTTGTCCTGGGTACAGATCTGATTTTAAAGCAAGATAGTAACAAAAAAATAGGTTTGAAAAAAGAAGTAGTGCCTATGATGGTGGATGTGTTGTGGAAATGCAAGATGTAGCAGTAAAACATTATCAGTTGTCTTGCGGAATGGAATGATACTTTGTGAGATACTAACCTTTTGGAAAGGCTTTTCTAAATACCACAGATCGTTTTACCCACAACGTATAGATTGTTTGGAGGGCATGGGTGGGCCAGGATGAGCCGGCCTCGTCGATGCTAACAATTTCCGCGCGCCTCTTGACAGACCCTTGGTCTTGCCCTACAAAGAGTGAAGAGCAGTCACACGATTACTCGTGGATATGCACGCGCGACGAGAAGACCTTCATGGCGCATTCTGACCCTACCCACATTTATAAGTGGGCGAAATCGCAATCGTAATTGGCAGGAACTCCCTGACCCCAGTTTACGGCCAAAATCTTACGCCGAACACAAGGGTAGGCATTGGAAACTCGGAAGGCCGTTGAAGAGGTACCGACGATAAGTGACGGCCGTGGATGAATATAAACTTCTGTATGAAATGATTTTGTAGCGTCATCATGTAATCGACAGCTCTAAGAGCCAATGCCATTAACTTTTCGAGTGATCGGTGCCCCTACCGTACACAGTCATCATTCTTATCAAAGTAAGAACTGGCCAGAAAGCACCAACCACTAGCACCTGTAATACCGACCATATCGATCCCCAATTTGTCGAACCAAATTCATTAGAAAGCGTTTACTGAAAATTTTATCTGGTATGCGCCATGTATCCGACTCCCACTCGGTCCGATATCCTAACACTTATCCTTTTCACCAAAATACATGGAAACAATCAGCAGCAATTGAAGCCACCGTGTCTCCTCGGTCACAATTTGTATATTTATTTTTTGTTGCATTTTTGAAGATAAATATCTCTCAAAAATCATTTCTCTTCTAGAATTTGAGCAATCATATGAGCTGATCGCTTTCCAACGAACAACTGAACACAGCTATCCTCAGGTCCTCGACGTATCTTTTCAGGTAGAGATCACTCGGAATCTGTCTCCATTCAGAGGCATTCAGCCTGCGTTTTCAGTTTCACGGAAATTTTTTTTTTTGAAATCTGGCGGATAAATTAATATTATTGAAGAGATTTTTGGTGCTTTGGCTTTTGTGTCTTTCTCTGCATCGAGACTGGCCCTCTTTTTTCCTAGTCTCAATTAACAACTTCTTTATGAAGATGTTGCTTTGCAATCGAAATCATTGACAAAGCGGCGCGGATGCGCAGCGTTTGTTGCAAAACGCATCACCCATTCCACATAAAAACACTCCTTCATGATTACAGATTTCCTGGATTTGACATTTATATTCATCCACATACTTGTCAAATTAGAGAGACCTATTCCATTATTCATTCTTTTATTCATCTCATAAATTACCAATATTACTATATTTCGATGCTTCTATGAAGGTCTTTACTCGCAGAACAAACTTCCCAACTCGGCCATGTTTCCAGTAGTAGCATTGACGTTATGTCGAGGCTAATCCGTCATGCTTAGCCTCTTGTTCATAATGAAAAGGCTTTTGATTACTCAGTAAATCACGAAGAGAAATCCTCTTGGAGTAACCGCACATTTGAGCTGCCTTTGCATCTGAATGAAAATCTTTTCAAAATATTATTTAAAAAATTCGAAAGACCACGAAAAAACCATAAAAGTTTCCATTTCTATTTCGATTCCCTCGGATGATGACTTGGAACACTTTAAAGAAATTCGCAAAGTCTGTATTTGTTTGCAAAACAAAACCTTCAATAAACAGGATAATCACCATCGACATCTGGAAATGCCCATCTTCCTGGCAGCTTCTCAATTCCTCTTTTCCAGAATCCTCAGGGCTGCAACGAAAAAAAAAATGCTCGATTTCATTTTCGAATAATCAAAAATTCGAATTAAAAAATATGGTTCGAAATTTCGAATTCGAACCATACTTTTTACTTTTCAGATGGTGCTCCAGAACTCTGAATAGGTGGTAATCAAAGAGTGCGAGGTCCAACGAGTAAGTCGATCTTGGCAACAGTCTCCATCCAAATTCCACACTTTTTTAGAACTTCATTTATTTTTCTTTCTTCTTGAAAAAACATATTCCCGTCGAAAGCATCATATAAACTTTCTAAGCCAACTCCAGCGCATTTGAGGGCTGCTGAGGTGACTGGTAGAGGCGATGGTGTAATTGCTCAGACAAGGACCATGGAGGGCTCCCCCTGAAAAATCATACCCCTACTCGATTTCGTTTACCAAGGCGCTTCAACGGAATCCAACATGCTCATACAGTAGCGCTCAAAAGTCTTCGGTGAAACGGCTCTTCAGCCGTACATTCCAGTCGTAACTCCTTTCCTACTGGATCTAATCATGCGAAATTTCTATATTTGGAGCGCGAGTGTATTGTGAATATTTAC